TGTGTCCCTTCTACCCCTGTGTCCCCTCCATGCCTGTGTCCCCTCCACCCCTGTGTCCCCCATCCCTGTGTCCCCTCCACCCCTGTGTCCCCTCCATGCCTGTGTCCCCTCCACCTCTGTATCCCCCATCCCTGTGTCCCTGTGTCCCCTCCACCCCTGTGTCCCCCATCCCTGTGTCCCTGTGTCCCCTCCACCCCTGTGTCCCCCATCCTTGTGTCCCTGTGTCCCCTCCACCCCTGTGTCCCCTCCACCCTCTGTCCCCTCCATGCCTGTGTTTCCTCTACCCCTGTGTCCCCCATCCCTGTGACCCTGTGTCCCCTCCACCCCGTGTCCCCTCCATGCCTGTGTCCCTGTGTCCCCTCTATCCCTGCATCCCCTCCACCACTGCGTCCCCTTCATGCCTGTGTCCCCCATCCCTGTGTCCCGATCCCTGTGTCCCCTCCACCCCATGTCCCCATCCCTGTGTCCCCCATCCCTGTGCCCTTGTATCCTCTCCACCCCTGTGTCCCCTCCATCCCCTTGTCCCCTCCATCTCTGTGTCCCTGTGTCCCCTCTATCCCTGCGTCCTCTTTATCCCTTTGTCCCCTCCACGTTATGTCCCCTCCATCCCTGTGTCCCCTCCACCCCTGTTTCCCCAATCCCTGTGTCCCTGTGTCCCCTCCATCCCCTTGTCCCCTCCATGTCTGTGTCCCTGTGTCCCCTCTATCCCTGCGTCCTCTTTATCCCTTTGTCCCCTCCACATCATGTCCCCTCCATCCCTGTGTCCCCTCCACCCCTGTTTCCCCAATCCCTGTGTCCCTCATCCCTGTGTCCTTGTATCCTCTCCATCCCTGTGTCCCCTCCATCTCTGCATCCCCTCCACCCCTGTGTCTCCTCCATCCCTGTGTCCCTCAGCCCTGTGTCCCTGTCTCCCCTCCATGTCTGTGTCCCTGTGTCCCTTCCACCCCTGTGTCCCCTCCACCCCTGCATCCCCTGAACCCCTGTGTCCTGGTTTTTAAACATCTCCAAGGATGGGGACAAAGTCACCTCATGGGGCTGCTTCTGAGGCTGATCAGCCTGGGGGTTCCCAAGGGAGTAGAGAAGGGTCCAGCAGCTCCAGTGCTGACCAGGACTCCTGCTCTGGGGGAAGGGACATGGGCAGGGCAGCGCTGGGCTGGATGGGCACAAAAACCAGGGCCTGTACAGTCTGGCTTTAAAGCCAGGTAGGAAGCCCCACTGGGAGATGGCAGAGCAGGTGGGCTGTACCCCAGGGGTGCATGTGGCACCTGAATGAAATGGGCCGAAGACCAGGCTGGCAGCAGGGGCAGCAGGGGCTCCCCGGCCAGAGGCCTGCAGAGAACGGGGCCTGGGACTGCAGCACTGGCCACCAGGGGCCGCTGTGGCGCTGGGCTCAAGGCCACAGAGGCCAGAGCAGGGGCTGGTGGGGCCGGTCTCCTCTCCCTGTCTCAGCCGGCCCTGCCCTGTGCACAGGCCAGCTCAGCTCCCTGATCTGTGGCCACAATGGGGCTGAGTCTGTGTCCCCAGCCAGCCTCAAGGATCAGGGTGACTGTTATGTGAGTTGGTTTGTGGAACCTCCTGGAATCCCACAGCCAGACCTCACAGGGGTGGGTTCCTGAGGGCACTCCAGTCACAGCTGTGTGGGTTCCAGCACCTGAGACTCCACCTGAGAGGCTTGCTCCGCTGAGCTGAGAGCACAGGGTGTCTGTGGGCATCCCCACGTCTGTGCTTCTGTGAGCTCAGTGTGCCTGTGTGCACACGGGTGTGTGTCTGTGACTGCTACACAGTGTGTCTGTGTGTGCACACAGGTGTGTGTCTGTGACTGCTACACAGTGTGTCCGTGTCTGGGAGCACAGTGTGCCTGTGTGTGCACACGGGTATGTGCCTGTGACTGCTACACAGGGTGCCTGTGTGTGCACACAGGTGTGTGTCTGTGTCTGGGAGTACAGTGTGTCTGTGTGTGCACATGCATGTGTGTCTGTGTCTGGGAGCACAATGTGCTTGTGTGTGTACGTGGGTGTGTGTCTGTGACTGCTACACAGTGTGTCTATGTGTGCACATGCATGTGTGTCTGTGTCTGGGAGCACAGTGTGCGTGTGTGTGTCTGTTTCTGCGGGCCCAGGGTACCTGTGTGCATACATGTATGTGTGTCTGCGTCTGTGAACACAGGGTGCCCGTGTGCATACACGCGTGTGTGCCTATGTCTTGGCGCTGCTGTGGCATCTGCGTGGGGTCTGGCCCGTCCATGTGTCTGCGAGCATGCACACATGGAGCAGGGACTGAGGAGCAAGGAGTGGAAAGATTGCTTCCCACGTGCCAGTGCCCAGCCACCCCCCTTGCCGCCCTGCCTGCCCCCACTTCCTGCCCTCCCTGGCCTCTCCCCAGCCGGCCTCTTGCACAGGAAATGAAGGAGCTTGCTGGGCCATGCGATTTGTTTGCGTCCCATCGCTTCACTTATTTCCATTTAGAATGAGGAGAAAACCCTCTGACAGTGGAGACCTTGGGGAGGCCTGGGTGGGCCTGTCCCCTGCCCTCCCGGGACCCTCTCTGCAGGGTGAGGTGGTGGGGCAGGCGGCCGATGTTTTTCTTCCTCCTAAGGAATAAAATGGTTTCTGGAAAATGCTAGTCTCCTGAGCTGGCTCTGGGCCTCAAGCCTGGGAGGCAGTGTTGAGCGATGGCTTCCAGATGGGGAAGGCGGCCCTCGGCCAGTGAGGGGGGGAGGAGGGGTGAGAAGGGGAGCAGGAGGGTGGAGAGGAGAGGTGGGAGGAGGAAGGGGAGGAGGAGGAGAGGGTGGAGAGGAGAGGTGGGAGGAGGAAGGGGAGGAGGGGTGAGAAGGGGAGCAGGAGGGTGGAGAGGAGAGGTGGGAGGAGGAAGGGGGAAGAGAAGGAGGCAGTGGAGGAGGAGGAGGGAAAGGAGGGGGCAGAGAGAGGAGGAGGGAGTTTTGGGGAGGATGAAGAGGAGGAAGAAAGGGGAGGAGGAGGCAGCCCCAAGGCATCACCCAAACAGGCCCTGCCGCCTCTCTAGGCAGGAGGGCCAGGACATGGTAGGTGCCCCAGGGCTGGGGGCTGGTGGAGGGACCTGGCTTTTTCCACACACCTGTTGCTCAGCTTCCCTCAAAAGATCTGTTCCTCTGTTCCAGCCCGTCCTGGCCAGTGCCTGTTGTTCCCTCTGCATCCATGGGCATCACCCTCTATTCCACTGGTTATCTATTCTCCTGGGTGTCACCCTAAGTGAGGTGCCTGGGTTAGGAGAGTTCATATGGCCATATCATGCCCTAGTCCAGGGGTCCTCAATCTTTTTAAACAGGGGGCCAGTTCCCTGTCCTTCAGACTGTTGGAGGGCCAGACTGCAGGCCCCAGGACAAATCAGCTGCTAAGCAGGACAGTCAGCAGCAGCAAAAACACCTGGTGGGCTGGATAAATGTCCTTGTCGGGCCACATGTGGACCGTGGGCTGTAGTTTGAGGATACCTGCTCTAGTCTATGGACAGGCTGGGGGACACGTGTTCGTACATGGTGTGACACACCTGGAGCTGTAGCCATCACAGAGCTGGCAGGGAGTGGAGGCAGACAGCAGGGAATAGGGGCAGATGGCAGGGAGTGGGGCAGACACCCACCCCAGACCCCTGGACTTCCAGGTGCAGTTTGTGGCCAGTGGCCAGACTGTCCAGAGCTCCAGGAGAAGACTCAGCAGAGACCCAGATCCTTGGGTCACCAGCTCAAAGGCAGCAGATGAAACTATGGCAGGGGATGTCCCCAGAGTCCTTAGTCTGCAGTGACACTGTGTAACTGTCCATAAAAGTGTGTTGGGAACAGGTGGGTAATGCTTGTCAGCCTCTGTAAGGAGGACCCTGCTTGAGAGAATTTACAGAATGCAAGGGACTTCACCAGAGGACCCCTGACTCCAATAGTGGGGATAGGGCTGTCAACAAGAGGGGACAGGAGTGGGCTAGGGCATAGGACAGGCAGAGCTGCAGAGAGAAAGGGAGGGAGCTCACCCACAACTCCTCCTCAGGTTGGGGTTAGCTGCGAGGCACTTCAGAAAACTAAACAAAGCTGATGACCTCCACTCTCCCCTGCCTTGACAGTGTGGGAGTCTCTTTTCCTGGGAGGATTTTGGCCCAGGGAGGCTCTGCCCGGCCCTCCCTGAGTCAGAGTCCCTCCAGGAGGCAATTCCAATGGGCAGGGGTCTCTGTCACTCCAGGGATAACCTGCCCTTCCTGGAGCAGGGGTGTACTCCTGCCACTGACCACAGTGACCAGCCTTCTCTGCCCACAGGGCTTCCTGAGCTTTGCCCTGGGCTTCTGTATCCTGGCACAGGTGACCTTCTGGAGATCCCGCAACCCTACCCAGGTGAGCACCAGCTGCTCCATCCTGCAAAGAGGGCTGGGTGGTGGGAGAGGGGCAGCAGCTCTGGGGCCTGCACTGCACCAAGAGTCACCACTCCTCCTTCCCCTGCCCAAGGTCCACCCCAAAGGGCTCCCCCCACCCTGCCTCACTTGGGGTCATGCACTCAAGACCAGGTGGGAAAACACCACCCTTGTCACCCTGTGGCATTGACAGGTAGTCCAGCAGTCTCACAGAGGGCAAGCTGGACAGTTCAGCGTTTCAGCCTCCCATTTCCTGTCCGGCCCATTGTAGGTCTGGTTGCAGTGTGGATGGCTGAGGTAAAGACAGTTGCCAGGGTACTCAGGGCTGGTTTGAGGCCTCTCCCCATGCCCTGAAACCCCATGTTACTCTGAGCAGGGACTCAGGTTCTGCATGGGAGAGGGCTGTCAGGGCCCACAGGACAGAAACCAACTGGGGCTATAGTCAGAGAGGGAAGGGGCTGAGGATGGCTTCCTCTGGGCCCCTTCTGAGGTCCTGTCCCAGACCTCATACCCCTCACAGTGCCCTGGTCTGCCCAGAACTCTGAATGGCCTTCAGAGGTCAGGCCAGGTTAGGATCTGCCCAACCCCAAGTGGGCACTGGGGCTTCCATCTGCCTGCCCAGTGGGCTTTGACTCCTGGCCTGATGCAGGCGTAAGTCCAGGCCTGGTGGCCCAGTGGTGGTCAGGACCAAAGGCTCTATATTTGAAGTCAGGGGTCCTCTTTGAGACAAATCAATCTTCTTCAAAGCAGGTGTTAGGGCCTGGGAAGAGGCCCCAGACCAGGCTCAGGTTTCCTCTTTTTGTTGTTTTTTTTTTGACACAAAGTCTCACTATGTCACCCTCCGTAGAGTGCTGTGGCATCATGGCTCTCCGCAACCTCAAACTCTTGGGCTCAAGCAATTCTCTCGTCTCAGCCTCCCGAGTAGCTGGGACTACAGGCGCCCACAATGCCCGGCTATTTTTAGAGATGAGGTCTTGCTCTGGCTCAGGCTGGTCTTGAATTCATGAGCTCAGGCAATCCACCTACCTCAGCCTTCCAGAGTGCTGGGATTACAGGCGTGAGAGAAGTAAACCACTGATATTTATTCATTTATTTATTTATTTATTTCTAGAGATGGGGTCTCACTCTTGCTCAGGCTGGTCTAGAACTCCTGAGCTCAAGCAATCCACCCACCATGGCCTCCCAGAGTGCTGGGATTATAGGCACCAGCTACCCACCCAGGCTTCCTCTGAAAGAGCCTCTTTCTGGAAGCTCTGCTTGAGGGGGCTGCAGGGAGGGAACACGCTGCCTCGCCTATGCCTGTGGCTATCCCACCCTCCCCAACCCTTGCCCAGGCTGGCTGTCCATAACGGGGTCTAGTGTAGAGCCACATGACCATAGCTGTGAGAGCATTTGGTGGCAGCGTGTGGGTGGGGGCCTGTATCCCGCCATCTCATGGCCCCAGTCAGGGTCCTTAGAGCCAGGCAGGTCCCAGCCTCAGGCTCCCAACACTTGGAGGGCTGGCTGCAGCCCCATGAGAGCAGAAGCCAAGGGGTCAGAGCTTCCTGTGCTGGGGAAGCTCAGGTGGCCTCTTCACCCCAGTTTCCCTCACTCTCCTGAGGACCCCCTGAGAGATCTTGACACATAAGGTCAAGACCACTCACCAGGCAGCTGGAAGAGGGAGGGAATAGCCACATCCCCAGACTGTCCCCTGCCACCCCTGTGGCCATAAATGCTTCCAGGTGAGACTGGGGTGCCCATCCTACCTCCAGGGAGCCCCACTCACAAGGATTTCCAGCTGCCACTTGGGAATAGAGGACAGAGGCAGCAGCCGCAGGATGAATACAGAGATTGAGGGCTATTAATTACACCTTCCCTGGGGCCTGAGAGCCACTTTGCCACAACTCCGCTGTCCCCAGATCAGACAGTGTCGAGAAAATGGATTGTCCAGCTCCCCTTAATAATTCATGCCTGGATTAAGTGCTGTGTGTGGGGAGGTGTCAGCTGTGCTATGTCCTCGTGGCTCCCTGTGGTCTGGACTCTCTGGCCACCGAGCAGGCTCAGGCCAGAGCTGGCTCTCGGCTGTGGGGTAGACCACAGGCCACCTGCAGCTTCCATGAGGGCCCCCCAGAGCCAGCCTGTGCCATGCTGAGATGAGCCCAGGCAGGTACCCTGACGACCTGGTCTGGGCAGTGTGCCCTGGGGGCCCCTTGGGAGCACTAGAAGGTGAAACTCAGAGCATGGGCACCTAACAGGGAATACCCAGCTGCCCCACTGTCCTCAAGGAAATGCAGCCTCAGCCTCCCGCACCCCCCAAACCTAGAAATGGGCAGATGGTGAAGTATCACCTGCAAGCCTGGCCCCCAAATCCTCCAGGCCAGGCTTTGTTTTGGGGAGTGAACTTGGCAGAGCCAAGCAGGGCAGGCCCTTAGCTACTAGGAGGGGCATTACCTCCACTACACTGAGTAACAAGACAACTTGCCCAGAGCCCGGAGGTCTAGGTCCCCTCCCTGGGCCAGGGGAGGAGGCCTGGGCCAGCCCTGGGTCAGCTTCCATAGACTCCAGCCCTTCCCAGGACCTCCCAGAATGAGGACACTTGGCCAAGCCAGACTCATTCCCAAGGAAGCTGAGGCTGAGGGGCCTGGCCCCAGCCTGACAGTGGCTTCAGCCAGCTTGGTGCCTGCACCCCAGGGCACTGGCTGCCTCCCGTCAATCAGGGAGGACAAAGGCGGGCTGAGTTGGCATGGACTCGTGGAGACTTGTCCAACTTTTATTAGCCATCAGTGGGGAGGGATTAATTAGTGCCAGGAGCTAAGTTTGGCATAGAAGGTCCACCTGACTTGTTCAGACAGTCAGGCTTGGACAGGGCTAGCCAGGAGCTTCCACTGCCCCTAGTCCTGAGGCCTTGCAGGCCTTTCTGGAGGGCAGGTATGAGTGGGCAGAGCGGGCCTGGGTCTCCCATGCAGATCTCTGGGACATCCCCTAGGTGTGTCCTGGTTGTCAGCATGGTTTGAAGGACACGGGGCCTCTGGGCAGGAGGGAGGCACCAGAGGGCCGGGAGCTCAGGGGCCCTTGCCCTATGCCAGGAGACCAGCAATTCCTGGGGCAGTCAGGGAAGCCTTCCAGGTGGAGGTGAGAGTCTTATTTCTTCCTTGTCTCTAAGGAATAACTTGGCAAAGGGGTGGGCATTTTGATGGGGGGCAGCAGGAGCAAAGGCTGAGGAGGGGCACTTGAGAACAGCCACATGCAGTCTGGGGAAGGCCGGGGTGTGGTGTGAGGGCAGAGTCTAGCAGGCCTCTGTCACCATCCTCCTCCATCTCCTGCCCCACAGGGGCTCCATCTGCCTAGATCTGATCCCAGGTACCCAAGGTGTCCCTGGTCTAGGGCCTTACCCATGGTCTAGCTGCCTGGGGCTTCTGGGGATGCAGCTAGTTACTCTGGGAAAAGACCTAGAACCTCCCTGCCAGCTTTGGGGGCACTGAAGCCCTGGCCTGGGGTCTCTCCCAAGGTCTCTCCCACTGGCCCAGCTCATCACCCATTTCCAGGTCAAGAGCATGATGGCCCCCTCCACAGCCCCACAAGACCACAGCATGTGACAATGAGGCTTAGTCTCTGCCTCATCCCCCAGGAGCTGTGGAGGAGCAGGAGGCCACAGTGACCCCTATGCCAGTGCAGAGGCCCCACAGTTGAAGCCAAGGAGTGTGGCTGCTGCCCAGGGGCCAGGGCTCACCCTCAGGGGTTCCACTCAGTGTGAGGGACACAGGAACATACTCAGCACAGGGGCACACTGCCCTCCAGACCCCCATCGTGGGGTCTCCCCGGGCCTCCCACCAGGGCTGGGCTCCCAGTGCTGTTCCTGGTGTAGGTGGAGGATGCTGCTTTGGATACCTACGACCTGGTATATGAACAAGCGGTGAAGACTGCATCCTTTGTCTGGCAGCAGGAGCTAGCGGCCATCCAGGATACGGTAAGCGTGGGGGGCCAGCCTTCCTCTCAAGAGCAGTCAGCTTTGCTGTGAGGACTGGACACAGAGAATGGGCACAGATGGCCCCAGAGTGAGCGGCTTGAGCCATCTCCTGCCTCAGCCTCCTGACAGCTGGGACAATGAGCACACACCATCCGGGTGTCTCAGGACTCAGCCCCGCTGCCCTCAGTGCAGGGCACATCTTTCTTCCTCTGCCCCAGTGGGCCAGCTACTGTTTCCTCAGGGTCCAGTGCAAAGGGAGAAGGCAGAGCCCCTTCAGAACCCGTGAAGGATGTCTAAACCCCAGTGGCATTAAAATAAGCACCCGCCCTTCCAAACAGGCCAGGGACCACTGGTGCCCAGAAGCCAGCCAGGCCCTCCAGCCAGCAGGCAGTCGATGTGGCTCCACAGGGAACACCAGGAGTGGACTATTGGCCTCAGGAAGGCCCCTCGCCAGGGCCAGATGCCCCGTGGCTGGTGCTCCTGCAGAACAATGACCACATCTTGGACCCCAGCCCCAGCCTCTACCTAGGCCCTTTGTCCTTGTGCTCCCTGTTTTCTTTTTCTTTTTCTTTTTTTTTTTTTTTTTTTGAGACGGAGCCTCAATCTATCCCCCTGGGTAGAGTGCCATGGCATCACAGCTCACAGCAACCTCCAACTCCTGGGCTCAAGCGAGTCTCCTGCCTCAGCCTCCCAAGTAGCTGGGACTACAGGCGCCCGCCACAATGCCCAGCCATTTTTTGGTTGCAGCCATCATTGTTGTTTGGTGGGCCCGGGCTGGGGATTCGAACCCGCCACCTTAGGTGTATGTGGCTGGCACCTTAGCCGCTTGAGCCACAGGCGCCGAGCTGTGCTCCCTGTTTTCCATGGGTCCCATCTGCTTCCTGAGGTCTCCAGAGCAAATGGGGGGTCCCTCTTGTCTGCTCTTGCAGTTTCTGTGCTGTGGGAAGAGGTCTCCTTTTGGCCGTCTGGGGGGCATGGAAGCCAGTCTGTGCCAGGGAGAGGAGGCGGCAAGAGAGGTGAGGTGGAGTAGACAGCCAGGGCCACCTGAGATGCAGGGACACTCTCCCAGCCCTTGGCCTCCCCCGGGCCCTCGGGATCGGCCTGCTGAAGGACTCAGGAAGGGTTCCGGTGTGATCAGAGGCAACAGAGAAGGTTTTGTGTACATGGAGCCCATGGGGTGGCCAGGTTGGACATAGGTCCTGTACTCCACTCATCCCTCACACATTACCCTGCAGGGGGCTTCCTAAGACCAGGGAGACTCAGCCCACAGAAACCTCTGGAAATGCACGGATAAGATCTCAGTGCCTTCAGAGGCCCCCAGAGTGGGGTGGTCAGCTCAGTCTAGGGGAGGGGGCAGTGCCCTGAACTAAGGCTGAGGCCCCACCCGCCAGGCTGGAGGCTTTAGCAATGCACTGCTGGGTGGAAGCCGAGGTGGGAAGCCCTTCCTCCCTTCCCTGGGCTACCCCTCCCTCGCCTGCTGTCCTGGAAACAAACCCACCCCATCTTGCAATGAGAGCCTGGCACTCCTCCAAGGCACAGGCAAACACTGCAAATGGCTCAGGCCGGCAGGGGGAGGAGATGGCTCTGCGGCCAGGAGGGCCAGAAGGACCAGCAGCAAAGGGACAGGACAAAGGAGGGCCAGCAGTGCCCAAGGCGGGGCTGAGAGTTAGGAACCCCTGACCCACACAAGGAAAGTCTTTAGATCCCAACTGCAAACAGGAGCATGGGTCTGCCTCTCACCCCTGAGAAGCCAGGCAGGAGGAGGAAGGCCTACCTCCAAACCAAACATTACCATCTGAGCGGTTCAGAGACAGTCACCACATACTTTTTTCTGGAGAGAGTAACCCTGCAGATGCCTGGGGGATAGCAAGGGAGCCTGAACAGTGCAGGGACCCCCACAGCTTTCCACTTGAGCTCCCTGTTAGCCAGCACCCTCTGGGCCCTGAGGTGCTGCGCCTGACCCTGGACCCGGGACCCAGAGTGAGTCAGATCCTGCCCTCCTGGCAGGAGTCAGACAAGTGCCCCAGTACCCCAACACCAGAGCTGAGGGCCGCGGGGTGGGAAGCCTTGGCCTAGACCCCGAGGAAGTGCCCCTGGATCCCCACAGAGGCCATCCTTGTCCCACTTGGTTCTGTCTTTTCTCCTGAGCCCTGGGGTGGCAGCCTGGGAAAATGCTGCACCCCATCTTCCCACTGCCCTGGCCTTCGACCACCAGCCCAGGTGGGGAGGGCTAGTCAGGGCAGGTGCCAAGCCTGCCACCTCTCCCAGGACTGCCTGCAGGGCATCCAGAGCCTTCTGAGGCCACACCAGCATGTTCTCTCCACCCTGAGTGGCATCGGCCTGGCTCTCACGGTACCCACTCAGCCCCCACACAGCGGGAGGGGTGGGTGGGAGCCTGTTATCACTCAGGCAGGGTTTAGGGCCCTGGGCATGACTGGTTCCTGGTGTCCCTGGAGACAGCCTGGTGGTGTCCGGTCCTGAGGCTGCAGAGGCAGACGCCTGGCACCCCACCCCACCCCCCCCCCGCCACAGGTGTATGCCACGTTCCTCAGCGCCTTCCTCTGCTTTGCCTTCCGCTCTGGCCATAGCCTGGACCGCAGAGGCAAATATGCCCCGGCCACACAGTAGGTGCCCTGCCCATATCCACCCTCTCACTGGGGGCCCCTGACGGTGGGTGCTCTGGAGGATGCACTCTGCAGGGGGCTAGGGGTACACCCTACTCCATGGCCCACACCAGACCCCTGTTCACTCCTTGCTTGCTCCCCCTACCCCACCAAGACAACCTACCCCTCACAACATACCTGCACTGATACCAGCAGGGAGGGGGGATGCTTCTGGACATCCCCAATCTTGGGGACTCCAGGGCTCCTCCTACACAGGGTGCAGAGAAGACCCAGACCTGCCGCCAGAAAGCTCCTTCTGCCCCCACAGTGCCCGGGCCCCCCTGCCTGCCCTCTCCATCCACCCCAGCACTCGCTCTGTCTGGCCATCTGGGCCCTCTAGAATGTTCTGGAGCAGATTCGTACCCACCTCTGCTTCTCAGGGCACGTAACCGGCAGCCCCAGGAGCCCAGCCTCTTCAGATGCTCCCAGGGTGAACCCACACCTCGACCTCCCTCTGGAGCAGACGCTGTTGGTGACCACTGGGGTCTAAGAGGACACTCAGAGGGGCCACGGTGGCTCCAGGACAACTGACACACTGCTGCGTCCCCGTCCTGCACTTCTCCACGGAGGCAAAGACACCCTGGCCGAGCTGATGGGTGCAGAGGGGAAGGTTGTCAGATGAATAGACAGAGGACAGGAGTGAGTGAGAGCAGCTGGGATGCCTGCCGCGTTGCCTGTGCAGCAGTGACTCGGGGGCTCGAGGCCACACTGTACACATGCTCCCAGTTCTGCCAGTCTAGCCAAGGAGGCCTCAGCTGGTGCATGGGGGGCTGTGCTCCTGCTCCAATATTTTCAGGCCTGCGGTGGGGACAGAGGTCCCCAAGCCCTTGATCCTGGGCCGCTGCTCCCCCAGGCCAGCCTTGGAAAGTCGAGTCTCTCTCAGGCTGACTGATGCCTCCTCCTTCCTGCTGGGAGGTGCATGTGACTAGGTGCCCCCCCCCCCAAGCTCCCCATCTGCGTCCCCATCCTGGTTTTGTTTGAGTTGTGGTGAAATGCACATAACATAAAATTTGCCATCTCTGCCGTTCTTTTTTTTTTTGAGACAGAGTCTCGAGCTTTCACTCTGGGTAAGAATGCCATGGTGTCATAGCTCACACGGCAACCTCCAACTCTTGGGCTCAAGCAATCTTCTCGTCTCAGTTTTTCTATTTTTAGTAGAGATGGGGTCTCACTTTTGATCAGGCTGGTCTTGAACTCATGAGCTCAAGGTATCCAGCCGCCTCGACCTCTCAGTTCTGGGATTACAGGCGTGAGCCACCGCACCCGGCCATCTCTGCCATTCTTGAGTGCACAGCTCAGCGGCATGGAGAACATTTGCAGTGCTGCGTGGCCATCTCTACCCTCTGTCTCCAGAACTTTCTCACATCCTCGAACTGAAGCTTTGTCCCCATCAAACACCAGCTCCCCAGCCTCCCAGCTCCTGGGACCCCCATGAACTCTCTGTCTCTGTGGACTGGACTTTGGGGACACCTGATGAGTGGAGTCACACGGGGTTTCTCCTGTGTCTGGCTTGTCACTCCGCGTAATGTCCTCAAAGTCCATCCATGTGGAGGCCAGCATCAGGGTTTCTGAAAGGGGAGTCTTCCCACACTGACCAAACTGTCACAGTCACATGATCTGGGGACTAACAGGGCGTCTGAGGGGCGAGGGGAGCATTTTAGAACTTCTGCCCACACAGCTACTCTCACTGGACACTCAAACCTCCTGACAGTGAACTGGCTCTGTCAGGAGACGTCCACACGATTGGCTCAAAACCCTAAGTCCTGTGTGGACACCAGGTTGGCCCTGCCCAGGCCAGGAACTCAAGGTAGCTGAAAAGCAAAGGTATGTCAGGGTCCTTTTCACCTCCACAGAGGGAGTGTGGCTTTGCTTCCCACCGAGACCCATGGAGGGAGCCCCCCAAATCCAGAGCAGCCCCCCTTCTTTCCATCCTCACACTCTTCTACCTGCACACACGTCCCAAAAGAAGAGTGCCCCACCTACCACAGCACTCCAACAAGTGCAGGCACACGGGCCTGGTCCTCGAATGGGACACCCTCAAGTCCTCATAGGTTCCATGCCTGGTGTCAGTGCAGGGTCTCTGGGTGTGGGTGTCCCCCCCAGGGAACCTCACTGTTCTGCAATCTGTGAAATAAACATTAGACAAACCACAGTAGCAGGGGGGAGAGGAAGGAAAAAGAAGCTCGTTAAATCCCACACCAGGCCACACACAACTCCAAGAAAAGAAGGTCCAGCAGAAGCCACAGAGCACTCTCGGCAGGGGATGGGTGTAGGGACACCGCTGTGTTCCCTGGCATGCATTCATGGCATGTGTTAATGACTGCGTTCATGGCATGTGTTCATGGTGTGTGTTCACGGCTGCATTCATGGTGTGTGTTCACAGCTGTGTTCATGGTATGTGCTCATGGCTGCATTCATGGTGTGTGTTCACAGCATATGTTCATGGTGTGCATTCACAGCTGCATTCACAGCTGCGTTCATGGTGTGTGTTCATAGTATGTGTTCTCAGCATGTGTTCACGGCTGTGTTCATGGTGTGTGTTCACAGCTGCATTCACGGTGTGTGTTCATGGCTGCATTCATAGCTGCGTTCATGGTATGTGTTCACAGCTGCGTTCATGGTGTGTATTCACAGCTGCGTTCATGGTGTGTGTTCACAGCT